ACAAATGGTGAAAGTTTGAGCGATTTTGAATTTTTGAGCCTTGCCACAAATTTTCGATTTTGTTTGATTTTTAGGGAGACGCGCTCTTAATGCCTTCCTATTTACACAGTCGAGACAAGTCTGTGTCTAGAGACTAAAGCAGATTTTAAAGTGGTCGCCAATGTTGATTTAACAAAAAATACAATGCATATACCTAATACAATGATCGCAGAAACTTCAGTATGGTATTTCCATTAAATTACTTTTAGGCTTTGATCATTTACTACTCACCCATAAACCAATGAGAATTGGATAGCCGTAAATCCAGTACTTCCAAAAGAATTCGGGGGAAAGGAAATTCTCTCCGGTGCTTTTCTTTTTAACATTTAATTTATGGACAAGCCGAGACAACTGAATGCCTGTGAAAGTTGAAGCCAGGGATGTGAAAAAGAATCCGAAAAAGATGATTGATTTTGATGTACATCTCGCTGATCTAACACTCAAAGCCATGGCTCGAACGTACTTAGTCCACACAGTGATATCCAATGCCCTACAAAGGAAATATGATCACCACTGACAACGCAAAGATACCCACCCCGGATTGAATCCTCATTGGAATTTACTTCCGCATGGCTGTCGTATTGATAGGATACATTTTTGATTTCAAGTGATTATTTACGACTAATTATTTGCCGGCTTTATGGCATATCAGAAATATTTGATCAGAAGAAAAGTTATTTTGAACGTGCCTACAAACTTAAATTGGAATTTTTTGTCGCCTTTATTAAAATAATTCATTTCACGGTATGGATAAAATGTGAAGTTTTTTTTTTACTAGTTAAATTAAGTTTATCAGCTAAGAAGAAAGACTTTCACTTCTTAGGATTATTTTTATTTACTGACTTAAAATAACCGGAAACTTTACTACCAGACCTCGAATGCTGAAGCGTTGTATGGTAACGCGAAGCATTTTCTCAGACAAAGGACTTAAAACCGTAGGCCATGTCTCCCAGCCCTTCCTAACCTGGGGGAAAAATTCCTAAACTCCTAAATTGGGGATATGAAAGAACCTGATGAAGGCCTTACACAAACTAGCCGCGTCCATATATCTGTGTGACTTGATTGCACCCTCTGTTCCCTCTGGCTCACGGCTTAAGATCATCATCTTTAAATATCTTAACAAGACAATCTTATAATCTCACTGAATCCTATGGCAAAAGAAGCTTTTCTTAGGCAGCCCCTGAACTATGGAATGATCTTCCACCTAACATTAGATCTTGCCACTGAATTTCAACTTTTAAAAGTAATGCAAAGACATAGCTTTTTAGGTAAGGAAGAGCAGAAGTTTGAAATGGCTTATAAACTTACCAATGTCATCCAACTCAAGATATATCGAAAAGTTGACATTCACCGGCGGATGAAACTTAATATGAGGCTGGACAACCTCTTCAGACATTATTTAGAACGCTCTATCTATAAACGCTATACAAACGATAAAGCGGAGATCACAAAACATGTTACATGTGCTTCACACTAAGCCATTAAGTCTAAGACGCATTAAAAAAAGTATTTATATCATTATAATGTGGTTTTCTGTAGGGACAGCGGCTATTGGAGAGTGGAAGATGTCCATGACCTCTTCCCCATTTTTTTAGTGTTTCTTTCCCTAAAAAACAATGACTGGGGTTCACACTAAGTCGTTGATTCTAAGACGCTTTAAGGA